GGCCTCGATGTTATTTTTCGAGCCCGGCTCACTAAGTTTACTTTTTTCCCCAAGCTGAATAAAAACACTCCTATAGTATCTTAAGATATTTATAAATAGTAAAATAGTAGAATATCTGTCCCCAAAAAACATGCTTTAATTCAGCTCGGAACAATGCTGAAACTATTTTAAAAACCAATATAACGATATCACAATAATTATAATAATAATCAATTTAGAGAAATGATATGTTTGTTAATGATTATAACTTTGATATAATCAAGCAAGATCAACATTTATACTATTACAATGTCATCCCTAAACAGCCTTTTTCTGCGAAAGATGGTCAAAATAAAATTGTGTTTAAAAGCTCAACAAGAATGCACTGGTGACCTCAGTCTTTGTAATGGTATAGATTCTTATAGATTTAAGTTACCATCTTACTGTAGAGAAAAAAACTCTTGAGAAATGCGTGCCAAACAGATGCTGGTACAATTGCTGCCATGGCCTCTTCCTTACCCCGATACCACCCCTTCAGGACGAGAGAGGGCTACTGCCACAGCTATGGATGGCGCCCATATGGCCACAGCTGATGGGGTGATTGCCGGTATTGTTCACTTTGTCAGCAGTCCTGGGGATGCAGCGGAGAGCTAATGATAATGCCGAGTGCAGATGTGCTTCGGAGCAGCCCAGTCGTTAGGCAACAACAGCTTGTGTGGGTGCGTGCGTGTGTGTGTGTGCGTTTGTGTGTGTCTCACATGAAAGATAGTAAATGTATGTGTGCGTATAGCCACAGCTGCCTGGCAGCCTGTCTGCTTCAGAGACCACATCTGTGAGAGACGCGTCTGTGCAGAAAACGCTTACAAAGCACTAGTGTTATTAATTGGGTATAAGCTTTGCAAATCACAGGTTAAGAGGTGTGGAGCTGACTGTATCTTTGTGGAGATACAGGTTTTAGGCCTGAATTACAAAGAACAATCCGGATCCAAACAGTTATTTAAATCACGACAAAAAATGTTGTTCAATGTCTGCTTTCCAGCCTTTCCTGAATAATACATTAATAATAATAATAATAATGATAACACCCTTTATTTATATTGCACCTTACAATTCTACAAAACGTCATAGTGCTTCAGATTAAATATAACTAACAAAAAAAGCATAAACACATACATAATGTGCCTGGAAAAACAGAAAAAACATTGAAACTAGTCATGACTTAGTTATGTTGCAAGCTACAAACAAACAGACCATGGTAAAAACATAACCTCTTTGATAGAGGTAATGATAAGACAAGTCAGAGAAAAGGCTTTGACCTGCAGATTTAAAATCAGAATAATCAGAATTGTACATGTGTGTCCCTGTGGTGAAGAAACACATTCTGTGGTAGGTTCGGTGGATCAACACATTCTTTTCATAATGTAGTATGTCTACAAATTAGGATTAATTTAAGAATTTAAACATCAGCAATTTGGCTGATGAACGTCTCAGGACCAAAACGTTGACATGTCCCAAATAAAACATTCTTTTTTCAAGGACAGAAGTGTGCGGGAACCATTATTTTTATTCAAGCTTTTACCCATAAACACACAACATCAGAGGGTCTAAGGTTTATGTCCGAGGTTAATCATTTAGATCAGGTCCTATCACAACTAAACAGACAACAGTAAGATCTATGTCTCACTCACTGCAGGAGAACATGTACCAGTGGATGCAAAATCACTTTTTACAGCTAAACTCAGACAAAACTGAAATGATTGTCTTCGGTCCCAAGAAAGAGAGATGGTTATTTGTCACTTCCAGTCAATCTCCCAAAAACCTTCAGATCAGGAAATCCAGGGGTAATAACTATTATAACTATAATAACTCCAGGGGTAATTATTATTATTAAGTAACATCATTTTGTTACTATCTAAAAACATAGCCAGAAAAATACAGTGTCTAAAGCAGTCCTGGAGATTCTTATACATCCATCTGTCTCTGTAGGTTAGACTTCTGTAATGGCCTGCTCACTGGTTTTCAATCCATCCATCCATCTTCTTCCCCTTTATCCATTTCTGGGTCGGGGGTGGCAGTCAGAGCAGCACCCAAGCCACAGAGCACCAGCCCCAAAATTGCTCTGGATGTCAAGAAAAAGACGGCAAAACTACAAGATTTCAAGAATTTCTTGCCTTCAAACAGATAGTTTCCAAACTATCTGTAAAACAGCTGCAGTTTATTCAAAACGCTGCAGCTCGAGTCCTGACTAGAACCAGGAAGTACGACCACATTAGTCCAGTTCTCAGGTCTCTGCACTGGCTTCCTGTGGCCCAGAGAATAGGCAGGGACTGGCCTCCTGCTGGTGCTCAGAGTCAGGACTAAACATTGGGAGGCAGCATTTCAGGTGAATGTACTGTGATAATGCCTTGATGAATGATTTTGATCTAGTTTCTTGTTTTTGTGCATTTTGAATTGCCTTGGGAATGGACTGTGCTATACAAATAAACTTGCTTTGCCTTGCCTTAAACCATTTAGCTTGGGCCAAGCATTTTCTGTAGCCTGCCACAACCTTCTGACATTAGAGGTGGAACTTTGACCCGCTCCTCCTCATAGAACTGGTGTAACTGACTCAGGTTTGGGGCCCTTCTTACCTGGTCTGCTGTGATGCCACTCTTACTCTTTGAACTTGTTGTTCTTGAGCCATTTTTCTGCAAGTTTGAAAGGAAGTGTGCTTGGGGTCATAGTCCATTTGGAACACCCATCTGACCAGTCTCCAACTCCCTCATTTATGTATTGAGATGTTGTTTCATAATATCCACATCATTCTTCTTTTTCTTAATGCCATTGAGAGCAGCAGTCCCTCCCACAGCAACATGACACTGCCCTCCCTGTGTGCCTCAAACCCTGTCCTCCAAACAAACGATGGACAATGTGACCAAAACCACCAAAAAAACCAAAACTACAGACTACAGTTTGTCAACGCTCATGGGGATATTGTGATTATGAAATGAATATATATATATATATATATATATATATATATATATATACAATATATAATATATATAGCGCATTGACGTGTTTTACATGAATTGAATGAATACTCAAAATGTTTTTTTACATTGACCACTCTCCTGCTTCTCCTGCTTCTCCTGCTTCTCGCTCTTTTCTTGTCCCTTCGCAGCACCATACAGATGGTCCCAAGCTGCCTTCAATAATCCATTGCACAGCCATGCCAGTACACCCCAGGCTACACCCTGATGCTCCACCACACATTCACACAAGCACACGTGTGCGCGCGTTCACTCATACACACACACACACACACACACACACACACACACACACACACACACACACACACACACACACACACACACACACACACACACACACACACACACACACACACACACACACACACACACACACACACACACACACACACACACACACACACACACACACACACACACACTCACACACAACCAGGCCATGCCAGTTCCCTGGGCTGGACCCCTGTCTCTGTAGCCCATATTGGATCACTTTGGTTCAGCATGAAGCAGTTACAACTGGGCCTCGGGCTTCGGCCTCTAGGCCTCCACATTGGCCCCAAGACAGAAAAAAGGTTTGGGGCTCAAGTGTTTTGTTGTTTGATGGTGACAGTTATTATGATTGCTCAAGCTGGAGAGGTCACATGTTTGATTCTAACAGCAGCGGTCAATAAAGAGGGTTTTGTTAAAGGTGGTAGTTGGATGGGACAGAGGACACGATGGACAGCACCAGGGGGAGACATGGAAGGTGGAATCTGACAGATGGGTCGAGCCTGGCCAGAGCTGGGAGGGAGCAGAGAGGTTGGCATCATAGGGTGAGAGAAGAAGACACACAAGCGACACACGACCACACACACACACAATAACCAGTGTGCACAACAAGCTCACGCATCTCTGCTGTCAGCAGTGTTTTCAGTGTCTTCTTTTGTGTCAAGAAAATGTCGGAGTGGGTGATAAATAGACAAATAGATGTCTTGGAGGACATGGTTCCACATATTGTTTGCATAATTCGGGTGCTTTGCGCCTCTAGTCAATTTTTCAACTGTCAGCCGAGAAGAATAGTTCAAAAAATGTTCATGCTTTCACTTCAGTGCAGTTGTTCATCATAATTAATTTCAGTTTGTCAGTTTGTTGTGCATTCCATTGTACATTTTGCTTCATGTTTCTTTATGTGGATTGTGAACATGGTCCATGCCACTATTTCTAAGAGGGGGTATACAAGAGGGGAACAACATAGATGTCTAATTTATAATTATAAAAAGTTGGTGTTTTTTCCTCCTTTTTTGTGTCTTTGTTGGTTTTTGAGTTTTTGTTTTTACCGTTGTTTTATACTTTATATCTATTATGATTTATGATTTGATTTTAATTTATTTCTGTTTCAATAGAGCGGGAAGACAGTGGGGGGAAAAGGATAAGGAAAAAGTGTTGTCGGGTCAAGAAATCAGATTCAGATTCAGATTCAGATTCATTTATTTGCCATTTGCAGTAAAACCACATTGGAAAAACTGTGCAAGACTACCCCGGTGTGAAATGAAGACAGAGGTAGCAGCAATCGCACCTGGAACCTGGGGCATTGTCGGATTCTTTCAGATCAAACAAAAGGTGACAGAATTTTACATGTTGCGTATCAATGTGCATCAGAACAGAGAGTTCATCACTTATATAAGGTAGAGATATTAATGAGGCATGATTAAGATATATAACAATGTACGTCAGGACAAATACACTCAGGACATCAGGTAATAATGTTAAGCAGTAATACAGATACTGTATGACAGGGGTTTATGCAGGTCAGATTCAGATGTGACGTGAAAAAAATGAAAACGACACAGTAAATAACAATATAAGACGTTCTCAGATAAGGTCCTTGTTGCACAGTCTGTCAGGTCGATAAATACTACGTGGTCCAACAATGGAGGCTGCATTGTTGTGTCCTTAAGCAAGACGCCTTCAACAAACACGTATCCTGACGCATCAAAAAAAAAAGGAATCCATCTCTTCTTTGCAGCTCTTAATGTTGCGCCTGTTATAAGCGCGTATTTCAGAGCTGGTGTAAAAGTCAGGCTCGTTACAATTTTCTTTTTTATGTTCTCAAACTAATTAGGGACCTTTTTACTTTCTTCATTTTCAACAGACAAACAAAACACAAACACACACAGATCCAGTACAACATCAAAATATACACACAAATCTGTACACAAACAACATTTTGCAGCCTATTCCTCTTTAGCAGAAGAAGGGGAAAATAGATGTTTGGAAAATATAGGTTGCCGACACCTGTTGAAGGTATGAAAATGTCAAATGAACATGGCCTGATGAGCTTCACGGGCAGATAGTGCAAAACCCACTCCTCAATGCAGTTCAATTTAATCTTGTACAGTCTTAAATCACAACATGGGTTATCTTGGGGGACTTAAAACAACCGTTGAATTCACCAACACAGATCGGAGAATCAAACAGTTCAAACACAAGAAATACAACAGAAATTGGTCCATAAGGGGCAGATGACCAATGTCCATAAATGTCCATAAATTGTTGAATGTTGAGGATTATCACCGCTGTCCTCTTCTCCACTCTCCAGACTGAAAACACTCAAGCTGCATTGAAAGGCTTGATCTTACTTTTTCCTTTCAGGGGCACTTTTTATGTGGCATGTGGTGCGGGTAAGGGTTAGGGTTAGGGTGGGGGATAAGGGACGATGACACGCCTCCCTTCCATCAGTAGTAGTAGAGGTGCAGTTGTAGTTTATCCACATCTTATATGGAGTGAAAGAATTATTCCATGTGAAGTGTTTTTGAGTGTCCAAAAAAGCGCTACATAAAACAAAGGCATTATTATTATTATTATTATTATTGTGTCACATTTGACATAGTAAAAGCTCTGCTCCTTTCCATCACATCTACAGAGTTTCCGCAGGAGGAGGACAGACAGTGGGAGTGAACTTGATGTTGGACAATTGCACAGCTGCCTGACCGCTGTTCTGTCTGTGTGTGTGTGTGTGTTTTGTGTCTACATGTGTATGGCGCAGCGGGCAGATGCACCAGATGTCCCCGTCACCTAAAACAAACGCACACATGGAACGGCGCAGGCACCAGTCTCCTCCACTCAGCAGCGTCTCAGGGTTTTGTTCAGCGGCTCCGGCTGTATTTGACCCTCCCTGCGTGACCCCCGTCAGGTCACCGCGGCGATGATAAAGTGCTGAGTCTTGCACATGTGTCCTGGTGCCAGCAGTTTCCAACAACACCCCGACACGCCCTGGTAATGCCCCTTATCTGGCAGACGCACGCAGCTGGAACAAGGGCACAGAGTGGAGGGCGACTGAAAAAGACTATGTTCCTGTCCTGGCTTTAGTTTGTTTGACGGGGTACATTTTTACACAGCTGATGATATTTCTTGGAGGATTAAAACCTCTGGTAGATAATGTTACTCGTTTTACATTAGTCAAATAGATTCCCTCCATCTATGTCATCAAATTCAAAGACAACAGACTGCATACATGTGATAAAACAACATTCCAAAGTAGCTTTTAGTTTAACATAATAGTGGTCTAATTTCTCTGTAATTCCGGGGTCAATCCACACAAAGCTCTACAGTTTCATGTCTTTGTCAGTACAAATCTGGAAGTGGTGACAATATTGTAGGTTTGGGACAGTCTATGTCAATGAACAGACACATTAGAAACATGAATGTAAACATGCCAGATTATAGCCAGAGGCTAATTTCCATCTGTAGTCCCATAGGGTTAGGGTCACTGGTCAACATCAACACAAACAAGAAAACAGAGCAATAATGCATATATATTTGTATATCTTACAATGCATTCACTCATACAGAGTGTGGAGGTAAACTACTCTTACTGCCACATATCTGGCCTAGGGCAGACAAAAAGAAACAATGCAGCCAATCACCATCACCATCAATCATTCACTCAAACAAGTGTCTTGCCTAAGGACACAATGGCAGTTTACAATTTGACAGCCTAAGCTGCCCCCCTTATATTCTTGGAGATCCCATAAACGTTCAAATGAAAGTAAATGTGAGAAAGTGTATTGTTCCACAGACCACAAAATTAGTAACAAAAATGTAATTGCACTCCCATCCCAGCTGCAACATTTGTTGCATGAGTTATAATCCGTTATAAATAAATTAATATAACAATCATGTATCAGTTCTTTATGATTCATGTGTTAAGCTGCATGATGAAGAAAAGAAACTTGTCGCCTCTACTCTTAATCCCCAGCTGGGAGCTCTTGTCCTTTTTATTGCTTTCATTAAATGGTAGGTTAGTTCTACCTGTCTGCCTCATACACTGGAGCTCTGTCCTATTATTTAAATTGAATGCATTGTGATTGTATATTTCTGAATGGCTGTGGCTGATGGGGGTTGTGGTTTAAGTGCTATTTGGGCACTCCCCCCCACAGATATTCAAGTTCAAGTTGTCTTTTGTTTCCAGGACAGCGGGGTGGGGTGTGGTGGCTGTTCTGGGATACTCTACCCCCAGTATTTCCCAAAAAAGTCCCTCCTTTCCCCCTTCGCCGCCCCTCCCTCCTCCAGCGCTGAGCCACTGTATTGTCTGTGCGCTTGTTGCTTGCCTTCTGTCCTGCTGTGCCGAGTGACTGACAAAAGAGCTCTTTTAAATATGGAGACAATCCTTGATCACTTGTGCTCATATGCGCTGGTCCCTGCTTTCTCCTGTCTCTGTCCTTCTGTGGTTCTTTCTTCTCTGTTTGAAACCTTTTCAACAAGTGACTGGAATTACCTGAGCCTCATTAATGACACATATAGATCTATAACGGCTTAGAATAACTTCAGAAAGAACAAGTTGTTTAGATATTGTACAATTTTCGTTTAGTGGTTATGCTTCAACATAAAACACAAAACAATAATAATAATCAGAATAATAATAATAATGATAATTTTTTTTACATATCAGATTTATATTGATGAACTCGAGTCACCAAGCCCCGTCTTACCCCCCTCCCCCCTGACTCTGAAGCCTCTCTTGGTCCACGGCTTGGCAGAGACCTCTCCCTCACGCACAGTCGAAGCAGCAATAGCTCAGCAGAGTCTAGGGGCCCGGGACCCCAGACAGGAGCCCAAGCTGGTCTCAGCCTCCCCAACATGTTGAGCTGGCCCGCCCTGGGCACAGCCAAATGGTTCTGCAGCTGCCCCTTTGTCCCCCTTCCTTAAGTAAACAAAAGACAGAAACAAATTAATGACCTACATTCAGAGTAAAGCTCGCACTGCCTCCTCGCACACGCCTAGACGGAGCAGTTGTCTACAAGCAGATGTTCACTTAGAACGCTGCAGATTGCAATTAATGATCACCACAGCACAGCAGAACCAGAGCTTTTTTGTTTTATGGTGTGGCCGTTATCATACAGTCTGCCTGCAGCCCTGGCATAGAGGGCACCGCGTAAATGTATGAAACTTTAACCTTGTCGAAAGCAACATGTTCTAGTCACATCAGCAAATGTGAAGACTTACATATTGCCAAAACAGATAAATAAAATGTAGTTGTTCTGAATACATGTAATTGTGCCCCTTCCTAAATGACCAAGAAATATATATATAGTAAAATTAATATATCAATATGTTTTCCAACTCCAGCTTCCACGATAGTTTTAGGTATTACTTATTGGCTCATTTGTTCCATACAGATGAAGCTGGGGTGTGTTGTCTAAAGTGTGGCATCACGTTTACATATATACGTATTTCATATTAAAATTTATGGGCACATTTCACTTGCAAATGGATATTTTTTACTTACAGGTGCAGGTTATAAAGACTTTTGAAGTCCAGTGACTCAAAGTTATGTTTGGTCGGCCAACATCAGGTCTCTCAGACTGGGGACAATGTGGACAGATTAGGAGTGAGCTTATTGCGAGTGTTTGGGGCTTACCTCAGGGACCATCTGTGGCCCTAATAGACACAGCTACTTCTTGGCCTCTGACAAGTGCAGGGGCTTTTAATGCATCTGCACAGGCAGGTTTAGCAAGCACATTATTAGCTAAAGCTGATTTATTTACTGCAAAACTGGACTTCAGGAGCTTTGAGTAGCCTATGTGTACATGTGTCTTACAAATGGGGTTAGCGAGCCGCAAGCTGCTGTCTTTTTTCTGATGATCTGCTGCTTCCATCCTGAGTCCAACATAAACATATATGTGCACGACAAACACCCACATCAATAGTCACTGGGGCCAGCATTCCAAAGCCTTCTGCTTGGCTGTTCATGGTGCATTACTTTATAGTGGTGGGATTTGAGAAAACAGATCAACAAAACAGATTCAAGTTTCAAGATTTATAATTTATTGCAGTTTGCACACAATTAAAAAATGTCAACAACAGCACACACCAAAAGTTACAAAACTAATCACAATTGGAATTTACTCCCCTTGAGAAACACAAATAAAAACTATGATTGTCAAAGCTAAAATTACTGAAGTTGAAATGTTTAAAAACATAGTTTTAGTCTCAAATGGGGAGCAAATATCTCTGAATTTAAATCAGCTTGTTTTTCTCACTGATTGTCTGACAATCTTTCATAAAAAACAGAAAAAACTTCACCTGTTTGTTTATAAACTGTCATAACATTTGTGTTTTCAAGTAAGCACAGCAAATAAATTAAATAAAAAAGGATGGAGATGTTAGGTGGTTCTTTCACAGCGCAGTTCCCTAAACTTCACACACACCTTTGAATAAAATAAGAGGCTGGAGTAGTTTAAGGCAGTCAAGTACAACCAGAACACAGCAGGAGTGAGCCCCTGAATGCACAAGAGGTGTAGAGGACAGGACTGCAGAGATGGGACCCTGTACGCACACGTGTGGTGTCTATAGTGAGATCATTGAGAAGAGAAGAGAGAGAGCCATGGCTGTTTGAGACTCATCTCCACTCAAGAAAAACCATTGCCGTGTACAGATTTTTTTCTAATTTGTTTGCAATATTTTGAAAGTTTTCAAAGAAATTAAACTTCCAATAAACATGAATTATACACATTTCCTCATGTCTAAATAGTTATATCAAATACTCAAAAAAGATTTGAAAAAGGCAAGTTTTCAGCTAAAGAAGATGTTGTCTTTTGAGGTCAAAAAGGTGCATTCAGGCATAGATGCTGCTTTCACAGAATGAATGTCTAACACATGCTCTCCCATGAACAACAACCAGTTTGTTTGCAAAGACAGATACCTAAGACAGATATTGTTACAAAGTTTTCTTTTAAGCTCAAACAGCTATTCCTTCTCGCCAGGATTTGATCAAGAAGGGATGCACTAAAATAAATTCAGCTTTTAGAGTATTAGAGTAAACGTTATTTGTTCAACATTATGAGTGTTCAAATCTGTTTTTGCAATAAACTTTCCAGCATGAAGTATAGACGAACATTCAGCAGGACAGTTGAACCTCTCTGTCTCTGCTGACCCCAGCCCAGAGCCACACTACAGACCTGTGGGGTCCTGCTGAAGGGGCAGAGGAGATCACACACACACACACACACACACACACACACACACACACACACACACACACACACACACACACACACACACACACACACACACACACACACACAGGACACACACACGCCTGAGGAAGAGCAGGAGGAAGTGCTGCGTTAGTGACTTAAACATGGTCAGTAGTACACTGGGCAAAGCCAGTGCCAAACACACACACACATACATGCACACAAACACACACACGCACACACAGCAGATCAGTGCATGAGACACAGGCTTCAAACGTTTCATCAGAGCGCCACACAAGCCCTGTAGCACACCTACATCCAGTAGAAAATCACCCTTCACTTTCAACATTTTCTATCCTTCTCCAAAACAATAAAATAAGACAAAATCAAATGTTCATGCATTTTCTGTGAGAATAATCGTTTGAACAGACTACACATTTGAGAAATATTCACAGAAAATGGAAAAATAGAAAGAAAGCCTGTTTGTTCAATTACAGTGTGTACAGTAATACAGCAAATTCACATTTCATTTTAAAATATACAGATGTGGACATCATGCAACAACAGCAGGTCCCATTACAAAAAAGTCATAAAAAATAATTGTCATATTAATTTAAAAAGATGTCCATGATTAAAACTCTAGAAGAACAATATACAACAACCTTAAATTAAATACCTTATTAACAAGAGATGTTTAAAGACTGCCAGCTAGATTTAAGAAAAACCTAAATTATTAATAATAATAACAATAATAATAATTTCCAAGATAATTTAAAAAATACTTCAAATTGATTGGAAGTGAGAAGGGAGGCTGTGCATTGCATGAGTTTTATCTTTCTGCCAATGAGCTTTTCCCTTACACAACACCAAGAGCTTAGCCAGAGAAGCGGGGAGCGCGCCTCTATACCAGTGTAAATGAAATAAACACAAACACACACTCACACAGCCCAGATGAGAGTAGTGCAGTTCACACGTGTGTGGGGCTCACAGTACCCGTTTAGTGAGGAGTAACACTTCAGCTTCAGTGTTCCACTGTCTGACTGGGACCGATATGACGACCAGTATCGGAGCGTTGTCAGAAACAACACAAAGAAAAAAACTCCTCAAAGAATTTTACTATGACCTACTCCAGAGACGCACTCAAAACCACCAAACACAGCTCACACCAAATAAAAATAAAGAAACAGAAATTAGAAATAAAATAATCAGTAGTAACATTTTATGTGCTATTAAAGTGCAATTGAATGAGATTTGCAACGTACATGAAAATGAGAATGATTCAGCAGGTCACAGGGAGCTTCACTTCCACAGTTCTTGTGAGCTGTCTTCTATGGCCCAGTCCCTGACATTGGGCAGTGCGAGAGGTTCACTTTTGACCGACAGAGAGTTGACCAGTTCACAATGAAACTTACGGATGTGCCGGTAAAGGTCCCCAGACTGCGTAAAGCGGCGCTCACACCACTTACACGCGTGTGGCTTCTCCCGCGTGTGCACTACGGCGTGCCGGCTCAGATTGTGAGAGTACTGGAAGCTCTTCCCACACGTAGTACAAGTGTAGGGCTTCTCCCCAGAGTGAGTCCGCTCATGGCGCTTCAGCGTGTACATGCAGGAGAAGGTCTTACTGCAGATGGTGCAGGTGGGCACGTTCACATCTCCAGCCGGTTTAGAGCGGATGCCCTCCTGTTCTCTGAAGTGGGAGCTGAGGTGGAGCTGTAGGATGTGTGGGGACGGGAACACCTTGTTACACAGAGGGCACATGAAGATTTGTGTGTGAGTGGCCGATAACATGTTGGACACGTAGGGTAGTAATGCACTGTCCATAGCCGCCGCCTCAGCCTGACTACGCTCGTTTTCACCAACCAGCAAGTCCTCATCGTCTGCACCTGCCGCAGCCTTGTTTTCTCGCTCCAGCTCTGAGGCCAGTGACGCCTCGCGCAGAGCTGACAGGTGTGCCTCCAGACCCAGTCTCCTCTGGGCTGACAGTGGACCCCCCACCAGGTGGTGGGCCAGACCCCCGTTGGTGCTGGGAGCCGTCACCTTGAGTCCACTGTGCTCCATGTCATAATCCCCCGCTCCCAGCTCCTCATCCTCGTCTGAGGCTACACCTCTCTCCACTTTGACCCTGACGGCCAGTGGACTTTGTAGGCTGTCTGGCGTGGCGGTCCCGCTGAAGTATGGTGGTTGGTGGCTGCTGTGGTTGCTGCCTATGGGTTTGACAGACAGGTCCAGGACACAGTCTGAGTTTTCATTGGACACCCTGCGACCCCGGTGGTCTCTACGGGGATTGAGAGAGTGTGGGGACCTGCGGGACAGAGAGCCAGTGGAGCTGCTGGGGCTGCCAGCCGGAGAGAGCAGTTTGTGCTCCGCCAGTCTCTCTGCGCTCTGGGTCTCGGTCTCTCCGTTAGCAGGACTGCCCGGGGCTATGGCGGGGGTGGTAGGTCTGTCAGAGGAGGGCAGCCTAAGCCACAGCGGTGCTGTCTTGGTCTTCACTTCTTCCTCTTCGTCACTGTGCAGCAGGTCAGCGGTGGCTGGGCGGCCTGTGGAGCCGTCTGATAGACTGTCTGCTTTGTCAGAGCAGCTGGAGCCATCGTCCTCTTTGCGCGTGCTGTCTGCCTCAGCAGTGGCCTTCTGCTTCAGCCGCTTCTTACACACCTTGACGATGTCGTACATGTGCAGGTAACTGGCGGCGGCCAGCACATCCTCTACGGGCAGTTTCTGGAACTGCAGTTTTCCCTCGTACATGAACTCCAGCAGCAGAGAGAAGGCAGGTGCAGTGACAATGTCGCTGTTGAGGTGGACCACGTCCCTTTTGTCCAGCTGATCCTTGTAGAAGAGGTGGAAGTACATGCTGCAGGAGGCCAGCACGGCACGGTGAGCACGGAACTGAGCATCACCCACCAGCACCGTGGAGTCGCACAGGAAGCCCTGGTGCCGCTGCTCGCTCAGACACTGGAGCAAATGTCTGCTGTGGTCTGGGAACTCCATTCTGCCGTCCTCATAACCTGCACACAAGAGGGACGCAAGTCAGAGGACTATCAAGAGGTTTTACATATTTGCTATATTATCAAAAGGCTAGAATATAAAATCCAAAGACGTGCTAAATTGACAATAACAGCTGCCAAAATAATTACACTTTACACAATAAATAAGAAAATGTCCAGAAGAAAAATAATTAAATAGTATAAATAAATATATGGCATATCCTATAAATACTTAAATTCACAAGGAACTCAAGACAATAAAAATATTTCCCTTTTTAAAAAATATATCAGTTTACAGCTGAAAATTTTTCATAAACAGTGGAAATTGATTGAGATCAAATTACTTTATTAAGGAGATTATTTCAGCCAAACACCCAGAGGGTATCGCAGTCATACAGCTTGTGCTTTTCTCGCTGCATCTCTCTAACTCCTCTGCCTGCACTCTTGGATTGTCGCTGCTCCTACGCTGGTTATTTTTATTAACCCACTTTGGCCTGGCCTGGCACAGCCCTTTTAGGTAACCGGCTTTCAGCTGCACACGCTGTCCTCACACACATACAGCAGCCTACTAAACACCTCCACAGAAGCAAAACTGCTCAGACCAGAATCTACAGTCGACGAGTCCAAAAGAGAAAGTTTAGAGGAAAAAACAAAAACAACTAAATTATGAATTCATGTCAAATGAAGGTTTTGGTTTTTATACTGAAAATTATAAAAAACATGACTATTGTGAAAAAAAATCCACCTCACCTGTTAACCAAGTTGATTTGTCCTGTCTGAGGAAATACATGGCTCCTGGTCTACGCGGTGTTAACCAAAGCAGTTAAATCAGCTCATTTGAATGAAGCTAAACCCAGAGTGTCCGGATGTGTGAGTGCATGTGTGCTGCTGGCCTCAGGCTCCTGCAGACTGCTTTTAATGAGGGGCTTACGGGGACAAGGGTGTCCCACCTCCTCCCACCCCTCCCCCTGTCCACCAAAACTAATATGCACCTCCTCTTTTACACAGGACCCTTCCTCATGCACTTCTCTCTTACAGAAACTGTCCTGCACATCCGCTCCACCTTATTCTGCCCATTCCTCGCCCCCCTTCTCCGCCCACCACATCCAAGAAGAGAAGATTTACAATACAATCACTGTAAGTGCCCTGCTCGTCACAGCATCAATCCTAATCCTTAAAGATGGCTAAAAATAAAGTCGGCCGCAGCGACTGTACAGGAGTTGTGGTACAAGCTCGGAGGGCGGGGGCAGTTAGCGCCCGGCGCCGGCCGGCAGACCCCACCGGACACTGCCTGGGAGCGGGGAGCCCCGCAGAGGGTCTGGGTGTAAGAGCGGAGAGGGACAGCCAGGGTCAGTCATGCCGGGGCAGGGAGGGAGGCTTACCCACATCTGATCCAGCTGACGGGGGCCATATGGCAGCTGCTAGCCAGATAAAGAGATTAAGACTAGTAGGGAGTGCGATTACAGCTGTCTAGCCAATTCAGGCAGCTCAAATCTGCAACTTCTAAATTAGTCTCTTCTACTCCAGCCGACAGAAGGGAGAAGAGTGGCTACAGCAGCCCGCACACATGCTTTCAAGTAATTTTATGGCAATGGAATAAACACCCAAAAAAAAGGCATATTCAATTGAATTTTTTTGTTTCCAATAGTATAGCATTAGCTTAAAGGATTAAACCTAAAAATGTTTTTATAAAAGCTTGTTATGCCAATAGGATATACATATTGTATATATAAAATATGTTTTCAGCACAAGCTGCTTCAATGCTGTATAGTTATTGTTCCTGGATAAAAATAAGATAGAACATAAACAACAAGCCAGTAGCTGAAGTGAACATAACACAGTAGCAGCTCCCGGACAGCAATTAGCCCACAGACAGGAGCACCAGCATGAGTTTACTACTCTACTCAGCTGCAGTTTCTTTCACAGCGGCTTGACACGCTGCACACAGACACACACTGACCCACACAACAAAACTAAACAACTCGCCCAAACTCTGCCACATGCACAAACACACACGCGATTGTACCTGTAGCCGTATGCATCAACTTGATTAACTCCACTGTTGCAGAATAGCTGGACTCTGTCTTGTATCCCTCCCTCGCTATGTTTCTTTTCTGCTTGTTCTCTTCCTCGCTCAGTCTTTCTCTGAATCAATGAGTGGGTAGAAGACAAGAAGAGGGAGGCAGGCAGAAAAAACACGCTGTTCAAACTGCGAGGGACAGATGCAAAGTGGAAGAGATGTTGGAGGGGGAACGAGATACCACCTCCCTCCTCCTTCTAACTAACTGGCGCTGATCGGCAGCCACAAACACACACACACACTCAAAGCACTAACTCTCCCAGGCTGCCGCTGAGGCTCACAATAAAGGAGCGGGAGGGAGAGAGAGAGAGAGGGAGGAGGAGGTGGGGTGGATGGCAGCCTGTCAGCTGCTCTGACATCATCCTCAGATGGAGATGCTACCTCCAGCTGTGCTCTTTCTACAGCCATATGCTGCCTCCTCTACACTCCTGCCACCAGACTCCTCTTTCATTCTACCAATACCAACACCACACAACTTTGTCCCGTAGCTCGCAGTCTCCCTCACTGTTCTCTGCGCTTTTATTCTTTATGTGGGAAAAAATACAAATGCAGGAGGGTGCTGTTCCCAGGTATATATATTTATATATAGATACAAATAAAGTAACCAGTTTTAAAACCTCAGTCATACTTTCAGGATAAAACTTTCAGGTAAAACTTCAGCAATTTCCAGACACTTGCCAAGGTCTTTACGTTGTTTCAGTAATAACAAAAGACAACACAGCACATAAACTGACAGACACATGCAGCTGATATTGTTTACCACTTCTTTACGCTTCAGCGCCAGTGCCTTGTCTTGTATTCATTCAGTGCCTCATTCACTCATTCTTCTGCCCCCTACACAGACCCTCCGGACTAGTGACAGGAACAAAAATGAAATGAGAAAACAATGGGGCCAAATCAGAAAGAACCTAATGAGTGAGCAGGCCAAACAAAAGGGCCATGAGTAGTTAATAAGCCGCAGAGAAACTTACAAAAGCCCCATTCAAAATACAAGCTTTTATTTTAATTTGGAAGGACAAGCATAGTTTTTCTTTTTACTTCAAGAAGTTCAAAACTACAATAATCACAACTGATGAATGTTTTAAAACACACAGCATTAATATTCAGATTACCTAATGTATAGCCATATTACAATATAAGATAGGTGAGCTAATAAAAATAGTAAAATGAAACAACTTGCTGAATAATTATGGTATTACAATGTAGTAGCTTCCTTATGTCGCTGGGACAGGTGCAAAGATTACACATCTGAAAACTTCATCACAGCGACTTTGTTGATCGTAGCCCATTTGTGACAGTGCTATAATAAGAAGCCAGAATTGTAAGGCATTACAGTCTTACTTTCCTTTGGACACTTCACTAGATATTTTAAGTTATTTAAGCAGCTTAAATTGTCATCTGTGGGTTACTCGGAGCTCTTCCTAGCAGATAAATTAGCCTGTATAAGTTGCTGGGAACAGCGCTGCATGCTAAAGTAAGCTACAGAGCGAGATGAGAGTGATCTATGTGAAAGTCCAACAGAAAGGGGAGTAGTGGCTCTCTCAGGGGCTGACCCACGCAGCTAGCTATAGCCAGACCATTGCTAACAAAGTGAAGCGAATAAGCGAATACAATATTGAGGTATTAGAGCGAGGCCCGGCTGCTATGACAACAGCTGCTAAAACACTGCGCGCGGAGGGAGAGAGACATGGCAACTATAGGACACAAACAGTCATGCTAGTACGGAACATTTAGCTACTTTCCCCCTCTGCAAACCACCCGCTCCCTGCGCTGAGCCTCCTATAAGCGGACTATTTGACACTGCACTTACAGACAACAAGCTCCAATGTGTCCACCGCCGCCTCCCGCTTCAGATCGCCTCTTGTCCCTGTAGGAGACCAAACTAAATGGAGTTTAGGCTCATTTCCATAACAGACTGCCGAGGTGAGCAGTCGGAGGGACCGGGGACTGAGGCACTCTGCGGCGGACAGATGTTTCCGAGCTGTTGCTGTTCAACTCGGGCTGGGAGAGGAGGCGACTTGACTGGCACAGCGCGGAAGCCAATGAAGCCGGCGAGGAGGGAAGGGAAGGCAAATTGGAAGCGGCCCTCCGACACTAGAGAGGGAGGGATATGGAGTGCGCACGGCGTAGGTTGACACCAGGCATTCAGCACCGCAGCAGCGCGCGCACCACGCACACACACAGACACAAACACACACACACACACACACATACACACATACATACACACACACGCACACACACACTAGAAAGAAGCAGCTGGGCCGACTGGTTCTGCGAGTCAGCAAGGCGAAAGACAGCGCGCGGTGTGCTTTGGGTAGTGTAGTCTGGACCTGAATTTTGTCTTGACCAGAGCATAGACCAGAGTGCTTAACTTGGGACTACACCAGAGGCGGGGCTGATCAGCAGGTGCACTACCTTTAACAGGCAGATCTACTCTTATAGAACGAGCTTCACAGCTTTGCGTTCACTGACAAGTCTGTGTTGTTCTACAGGTGTGATTTATAAACTGAATGACTTGTTATGATTATTTATGTGACACCTAATTCATCATGTTTCTACCATATCTAAGTACAGGCCTACAAAAGTGCTACATTCCTTTTGTCCCTGTCAATTACTATAGACAGAATTGCTGGCTTGTTTGGAATTCAATTGCCTTGAATTATGCTTTTCTTCAAATTGATCCAATAAATAATTGAACAAGGCATTAGGCCAACGGGGTCTGTATGGGTTGTATTTGTTCAAATAGAACAGGTTTTAGAATTTAGCATTTATTTGGCCTAAGAAACAAGGGTCCAATGTAGGTCACAGGCCAACAACCTTGACCAGCATTCATCATGGTCGACTGGACAGGGAAACTCTGGCCAGCTAAAGTGAGCCTGTCTGATTTGCATCTCCTAAACCTGTCCCAGTAAACTAATTGGCGTCACTAATGGATGGCTGGATGAAGTGCATCTCTGTATGGTAATGAATTCACACAATCCGGTGTCATAGCTGAAGGATTTGTTAAAATGCAAATGAACACTGACCCTGTTATGTGTCTATCAATTTAGGGATCCCCGAAACCAGCATTACAATGAGCTCCTTGTTCATACAAGTATATCAAATACAATTAGGCCTGGGCAGGCACCAGATCACACCAAAAACAGCTTTTTAACATTCATAAATTAGCGCTAATTTAGGAACAAATTTTAAACTGCATGGTGTTTAGGCCTGTCACACTGTAACCAGACAACTTAAGTTTGAAAAGTTTTAAAATTCACAAAATGTGTTATTTGGACAGACGGGTGTGAATCGTGTGATTCACACCCATCTGTACAAATGGGTAGCATTCAATTTTACTAATTGATCTTGTATCAATAGTCTATATTGAAATAAGTAGAAGTGGAAGGTCTTTTTTAACCTTTAAAAAAAGAGTAAGAACAAAGTGATAACATGGCTGTAGAATTATATATTAAGTATTACGTGTGTATGAATAAAAGCCTCCATGATACACAGCGCATTACTCTCACATTTATCCTTAAGCAAGGACTGTTTGCATAATTTGGTATCTTTGTGAGCGACAACCAGAGACGGAGACGGAAAGGAAACACTACTTGAATGTTTTGCCTTCGGTCCTCTGGAGGTCGCTGTAGATTCCCTGTGATAACAACAGACGCGCACGGCTCATCTCATACAAGCAGCAGTAGAAGTTGTGTGAGTTTTACAGGAAAACACGGCTACTGCAGATTAGATCATAAAAAGGAAATTTGTCATTAGTTGAATAAAATTAATATATCATAGTAACACACCCAAAATACTAACAATACTAGATACTGTTTTGTTACAATACACATGCAATATTGCTTAAAGGAACACCAAGTGGTTTAGTCTTCACATGTCCTTCCACTGGCATATTACGAGATATTAGTAAATGACTGTATCAAGTAGCCCCCTCACCATGAGGTAATGAAAAATGTCAAGTAAGTACAAGTAGGTACAGAAGTGTAAAGCAATAATACACTATAAAAAGAAAGTTATAGAAATATCATATAAATTGGGAGCTGATTACATTCCACCCCATTCATCGTATTTTAACAAGAAAGACGATTTAGCTCAGAAAGAATACTGAAGCGTTTGGTGACAATAAAGAATGTGTTATTTACATAGAGGCTGTTGCATATTTCTGAGACAAAGTTCCTATGGGAAATCAATAAAGTATCTATGTATCTATTAAACTAAACTGTAATGGGCCCCAGAGCCATCACAATGCACCCAAGAGAGTCTTAAATGTTATAATATTTGGAATAAAAATACATTCACAAAACAAAATAAATAAAACATTGGTCTGATTGTGCTATACTCCCAGAATTCCATTGCATTTCTGTTTGAACGTACTTATTGTCCAGCTGCACACCATATCATCAAAACCTTTATTGAATTGAATTTATTTTTGTATAGCCCTAAATCACAACAGTACTCATCTCTGAGAACTTTACAAAGTTATTGATTCACCAACACAGATCAGAGAATAGAACACAGGAAATGTAATACTAACAAACTCATAGGAGCCATTGGTCCATAGGGTGGATGACCGATATCCATAAATGTTAATAAAGTACGAGTGCATGTGTTTCTCAATAGAGAGAATCAGGTGTCCATCAGAAAAATGACACAGCACCTTTTTAACTGAAGGTCTCCTGTTCCATTCATGATCCCATTCATCACATAATTCACAAGGAAAGTTGCACATTACCTTTTAACTATTGTAAAATTGAGAAATTAACAAAACTGAAATTGTTCTTCTCAATTTCACAAACTTATGGAGGATGGAGAAATCTGTCTTATATATGATGACATAAACACCATACCCAAGACAGATTTCTCCATCCTTGAGCCTGCTAAACTGACGGTGGGAGGATGTGGGTTCATATACATTTTAACGCTGGGATCACTTGGGCCTGCCGACGTGGCTGCTGTTGTGTTGTAGGCGGTCTGGAATGCGGCCATTTCGGCTCAGTGTAAAATATTCATGAACTATCAATGCTCGCCCATCTGACTGGCTGGCAAACATCTGCTGGGTCTCTGTGCCTCTAGAGGTGCAGCATCTGTCCATTTTGGAGAAGTGAATGCATGCCTGTCTTCTGCTGGGTTTAAATGCTTTTTGTGACGTGAATTTTAGACTGAGTTGGGTGTGTTGGCGTACGTTGGCGTCTGAGGGTCCTATTTATCAAGAGGAGAACTCCTTCTCTCCAGATGGTGAACACCATTTTTTTTAAACAAAAAAAAAAGTGAGTTTTGTAGGATGCCTTGTCAATCAAATTTCACACAGATTATTTCCCAGGGAAGCTGTTTTAAATGTGTTAAAGTGATATCATAGTTGTTACGTATCTATATGTATGTGCATCAGTATATCACATCTTGTGGATGTATGTGCGCGTGTGGGCTGTTCTCACCCATGTAGGCGAAGAGCTGTGTGGCTTTGGCTGTGTCTCTGTGATGGACATCTGGAAGCTAAATTGGTTAATGGCGCCTCGGAGCCAACAGTCTGGATGAGCGGCTGGATGTGGAGGAGTGTGTGTGCGTGGTGGTAGGACAGAGGTATAGGGAGCAATACATCTGGCTAGACGTCCCGCCACAGACCGATACCCTGCTGGACATTAAGAGACTTCGCCTGTCCAAAGTGAAAACATAGTGCCAAACAAAAAAATATATGTTAGTCCTTATTTTCTTCTCTGTTTCACAGTTTCCAATGAAATATGTCAGTTTTGGGTAAAAACTTTCTCTTTAATTTAGGTGTGGCCAATGAGTAATTGCCTTAAATCAGATTTTTCCCCGAAAAGAAGAAAGCCGTTGCTGCATACTTGGTCAGGTTAATCAAAATCCACTAACAAATCAATGAAAGCAATCAGAAGAAATTGCACCAGACATTTATGTGATGTATTAAAAAGAATACCCAAAACAAACAGTCAAATAAAAGTTGAAAAGAAATGAAGATATAAAAAGTAGAGTTAATTTACCCACCAAATACTTCCTAAAATCCACAAACCAACAATTTTCAAAAAGAGTAAAAACACTGGAGAGCTCGTTTGAAGCCACTCAGCCCTGCACAAAGCCCTCCGCACCTCCAGGCCAAGAGTGCAAACAGTCCAGTGTGATCCAAGTCAATCTTTAAAGTGAGATCACAGAGATGAAGAGATTATGTTGAAATGAAAGGAGCTACTGTAGCCTCTGCCCTGACTGAAAGAGTGTCTGCCTGTCTCTCCAGTCCAGATGTCAGAACAGCTGCGTCAGGGAAGCGGCCCCCAGCATTCGCAGGCCTCACACTGCTTCACGACCCACGAGAATGCACGGGACAGAAAAGGAACACAGCCATTTACGACCATGTGCCTACATTTTTTTTTAGGTTTGTGCACAAGATCAAAACATTTCAACCTTGGTACATCGAGAAATTGAGGCTTGAAATAGAATTGACAGATACCAATGATGTGAACAGCCGAAAAGATTTGTCAATTTCACTTGTTTAAGATAGACATTCATTTCACCTGTACACTCCAACAAGTTTGGAAAAGTTATTTTATAATCCAATACTTTCTTTCTGAATAAGCGGGGACAGTATTTTTTTTCAACAAACCCGCTTAGGGAGGAGACATATGCTGACATATGAAACTATGCCACACATACAGTGGATGTTTGACAGCCTTTGTCTAAGGAAGAAATAAAATGTTAACTGGTTGTAATTGTTGTAATAATTTTATTAAGGCCGAATAATGATGATCATCTTAACCCATGTCTGACCTGATATTTAAAGACACATTAGAACATGACAAATAAATAAGAATGCAAGGATAGATAGTATGTGAAACAGATATTTTTTGAGAAAAATGTAGGAAAAAGAACAAAGAAGATGAAAGAAGCTGTTACAATTCCATTGTGCATATTCATTTCCCTACCACTTATATAGGTGTGCACTTTTCAAGTCGTGTACCATAAAATATCTCCATCCACCAAGATGTATGACCATTCCAACTTTTGCTGAACGTTTGTATGGGCAATTGTGTGCCAGGCTGCCAGCCTGTCTGCTACAGTGCCAGCCCTGAGCCAGCGGGAACATTTGCCTTGTGGCTTCAATTCCCAGGAATGCCTAACCTGCGCCAGCTGTTGAGAACATGCTACCTGTGCCAACAATGTGCAGTGCTGCCCACCACATCAGCTGCCACTCGGTCTCCATCTGGGACCAGAGCTGGAGTCATGTGTGCGGCTCATTGTGTCTCTGCACACATCTGTATTTGCTCTCACATCTGTGCACGTGACTGCACAGGCACTCTCTTGTGGGGCCATGGTTTGCAGGGTGCCAACTTGTATATACATATATATGGGTCCTGTATAATGTGGGCTGTGCTTTGTGAGCGCCAGTTGTGTGTGTGTCTCCATCTGTGTGAGCTGGGCCTCACTCTGCATCTGGAGCAGTGCTGAAGAGCTTTTCCAACAAGGCCAACGCAGCCAGCTTGCCAAACGGCCCAGATGTTACTGCTGTAGGCCTCAGGCTAAATGGAGAGAGCTGCACTCTCATTATTCAAGCCTAGTAAATTCACAAGTGCAAGTGTTTCAGGTGATAAAAACAACAAAACAAGGAAGCAATAAAATGTTTAAAAGACAAAACATTTATATCTTTGAAATAACAATTTACAACTTTAACTTTTTATATACACCACAATTTACGACAAAGAATACACACGCTAATCAATAGTAATGAGGCTTTAGACTTTACAGTCTTGTTGAAGCTTGTCAAAGTGATAAACTTTAGTCATTATTACTTCACTCCACCCTCCAGAAGTTCCAGAAACAAGGATACCAATCTGACCACCACCATTCAGACTCATAATACTATTATATTACCAAACTGACAGCAGGAAAACATGCAAACACATTGATGGTCTGGTCCCACAACCTTGCTGAAAAGCATGAGCAGTAAGCAATTTAGTAACCAGTCAGGCACAAAATGAAGGCGAATTGTGTGGTATCAAACTGCCAACAAACCAAAAGATAATAGAAAATTATTTAAATTCTGCATTATAGGAGGTGTAAAAAAAAAAATCATATAATGACCAAAACTGCACACAGAATCACAGATTCTTGTGTTGCTCATTTGCTTTCTGAACACATTCTGAAAGGTACTGTATGTACAGCAATAAACTGTGCTGGGATCTGTCAGCGAAGGCAATTGGAAAATAGAGAATATGCATGTATAACAATGGCAAATATTGTTTTACTTTTTCAACAAAGTAAGTGAATGAGTGGAAACATCTATGGACTCATTTTGTTGTTTGTGAATTAATGTAAAGTGTTGATGATGGTCAGACTGAGGGAAGTATAGCTGCCAATCCTCCATCCACTACACTGTCACACCAACACAGTAGTACATACACTACATATGGGTGAGGTGATATGCCTAAGAACTCAAAATTGCTAATCATTGAGGTCCATCCACCAACTGTGATTGACCAAAAAATACATACGCAAAACCTCACATTGGTTTCAGGCACAGTACTATCTCTGGCCAACACATTATCCACACAAAACAACACAAACACAGACTGTTCTTTTGAAAAACAACAGCACGGCCTAAAAAAGTGAAAAAAAGGCGTTCTCAGTCATTTGGTTGGCTGCCGTGAGCTGGATGGGGGTATCTGATGCTGGAGCAGATTTGGCCTGTGCCCGTGTCCGTGTGCACTGTGCTAACCGCAGAGATGGCATCTGTCGGGGCGCTTTAGCTCTGTTTGCGACATCCATGTGTGCGAACTTCCACAGGGCTTAGAGAGTGCCCGCTGCCCCCCATATGGTGAGCTGTCAGTGGGACGGCACGCAGCAGATAGCCCTCCCCTGTGTGGGACCTCCAGCACCGACCAAGTAAACAACAACAACTGGATGTGGGTTTGGATTTGTTTTGTACAAGCAGGGATTTCATATCAGTAATTACCACAAATGCAGATGATATTGATATAATCTATTTTTTAAAACAGCCTTAATGAGCTTTAATGTGTGATATATTGGCTTAGTGAACAGATTGATGATCTGCATGGAAAATATGCATGTTTGTTAGTTTGGTCATAACATTACTGGGAAAAAATAATGAGACAAATGTTTTTGTCTACATTATTATTCTTTTCAGTATGTTCAAATGTTTTTATATGTGATATGTAGTACTAAACAATATGTCTAATTCAGCGTAAAAAACTGAATAAAATGAATAAATGTTGGTGTAAAAATGTAAATGAATGATTTATCTTAGAGCTAGAGCAGTTTTATCGTCCCTGTCCTTCGGTTTCCATGGAGATGCTATTGCTTGGTATAACATTAAATTTGTCATGAATACTTTATCATTAAGGTGAGTCTTTTTCCTGCTTGATAACTGTGTATTTGAAGTGTAGATGCAAAAAAAAAAAAAAAAATCCCACCTCATATAATTTTAAATGGAAAATTGGCTCCAGATTTTGCTGGTTAGAAATAGCAATTATCAGAACATCCATCCATCCATCCATTTTCTACCCTTTAATCCATTTCTGGGTCAGGGGGGTGGCAATCAGAGATGCCACCCAAGTCTCATAGCACCAGCCCCTCGCTGACCCTCTGCAGGTGGTGAGTCCACAGGAGGACGGCTGCTCTCTGAGTGTGAGCATAGCCTTGGTCTTTCAGTGGGGGCTTTTGGCAAAGTGGGGTTAAGTGTCTTGCCCAAGGACACAACGACAGCAGTCATCAGTGGGAGTCGGTGGAGAAGGTGTAGAGGTGATTATCAGAACAGAGTGTAATTAATTGTATTTTAGATGCTGTTGTATTTATAATTGAGTAGTCATTAAAATCACTATTAGAAATAGTATCCACCCATAGAAAGTGTCAATCACAGTTTACAAACACAAGTTTTGGCTGTGCTGTCAGTTGAATGGCTAACTTTCTATGAGGAGAGGCACATAGCTGGAGAGCCTGACGGAGACATCTCCTCCCCTGGTGCTCAGCGTTTTTCACATCTGCCTCCTCTTCCTCACAGATGTTAGCAGCAGTTTGTTCTGTGAAGGAGAAGCTATACTTCCTCTGGCGTCTCTAAGGAGAAGACTGCCTGAAGAAAAACACATTTACACATAAAGCCCTAATGTGTCGAGAGGGTGTATTTGTGTACATAAAAAACATGCCTCCGTGTGCTGGAGCAGAACAAGACAAGGAGCAGAAATCGGTAGTGGCAGGATTGGAAAGTGGGTGTCCTCAGGGGGAGTGGATGTCTGTGTGTGTTTTCTGGCTCTACCCAAACTGTGTGTTTTGATGTTAATCTCACCCAGTTGTTGGAAAGCCAAACACAGTCTGTGCACCCAGATGTTGACAGCTGTGGAGCTCACACACATACACACACACCTGCACACACGCATGCACGCACCCACATACTTTTGCACACACGCATGCACACCTACACTTGCACACATACACACTCACACACACGCACACACACACACCCACATGCACACACACACGCACATATTGGGTAGCATCACATAAGCTGAACCATAACCTAAATTCTGCCATCATCATATTTTGTATCTGTTTTTTTTACAAAAAACATAAATATCAGACCAGATCTATTCCAAAAAAGGAGACTCTAGTAATACAAACACATTATTGTCCCCACAATGTTATGAATACCCATCGATACACACGCATCCATATCCAGAGACGCAGTATCACACATCCTTCCTGTGCTGCCTCTGGGGACAGTCTTTTCTACGGCTTCAATTTCAGCCGCCAAATTTGACATGTTTTCTAAAATCCAATACAACCCTGGAGAGTTTCTTCTGCTTTCACGGTGACAAGTGTCTCCTGAAAACTAGTCAAATGGGTGCGTTTACCTGAAACGGGGACTATAGCCAGTGTGGATTGCAAAGAACCAGGTAAGAACTTGCTCTTCTCTAACACCTCCTCAGCAGAAAAAAACTATGCAGCTCTGCTCTGTCAACGCCTCCAGGAAAGAATCACCCACTCTTCTCCACCACATCCCCACCGCTACTGTGCCAACTCAACTGCAGGTAGGAGATTCACAGGTTACTTCATATATCATATGATCTGAGCCCATAAATAAGACCGTGTAAATATTATGTATTTTATGTAATAAATATGTTAACACTAATTGTTATTTTAGAAACAAAAAATATTGGTTTTGATACAAAAAAACATGGTTTACTCCTTACAAAGACTTATCTACCCACAAAACACTTTTGAGACTAGTCATTGGTTTTCTTCCAATCCCATCCTGAATCTGGGATGGCGAGCAGAGTGACTCCTGTTGCTCAAGTGTTCTGAGCTCTATAGTGAACATACAGTAAAAGACACACAGGTGCAAACATGCACAGAATAGTTATTCCCTTATGTTTGTAAGTGTTAACAATATTACTTATTGTGAGTGAATTAATAATTGTTTTAGATTAATAGATTCAAAAGTTATTGGTGATTTGTGCCATTCATTCAATTACATTTTCTGCAATATGGCTATTTCATATTTAATGATTAATGAATGCACTCTTGGTCAGCTTCCGTTCAAAAGATGTTATTTTATTATCAGTAACAAGGATTAGATCAGAGTTCGGAAAGAAGGTCTTGCAGTTTTCAGTCTTGATGTTGAAGCAGATTCAGACTCAGAAGAGAATTTCAGTCAATAATGAGTTAGTCAAGTGTAATTGAGTATAATGGTTTTCAAATTTTAGATTCTATATTGAATCTGAGTGTGGGATCATAAATAGTTTGTTCTGTTTAGGGTGAAATAAAATAGTGTGTTTGTTCTGTTTTAGTTGAATAAAATTATACACAAGCAAAAATATAGCACTTTTCTTGTCAAATTTTGTTTATTTTCCCATGTTTACTGACCATATGTGACCGTATACTTCATGATTCTATATGATTGTATATGAAGGAGTTAAGTGGAGTTTTAAACATTCATTTTAAGGTGGTCATCTGGTACAGTGCTGCCTACATTTCACAGCTGAGTGCAGACTAGGTGACCCAGAACAGAGAGAAGCAGAGTTGTGCTGGACCATCCTGTTTCCAAGCTGTCCTGCAGAAGAGCACACCTACAGCTCTGGCTGCAGCTGCTCTGTCCTGTCTCGGTGCATATGTGAGTGTGTCCCAGGCCCAGGACTGCCTGACCGCAGCTGTCCCTACCTCCATGTGGGTCTCCAGGGCGCCGCTCACCTCCCTCTCCTGAAGCCACATCAAAGAGACCCGGGACAGAGCGCAGGGCGGCACGGCTGCTGCTTCCCTGGGCTTTGGGAGCTGGAGCCAGGTTATGGGGCTGAGCGCTGCTGCAGAAGGTAAAGGAGGTTGAAAACACCGGGGGGTATTGGGGCGTGTTATTTCCAACAGGAGTGAGAAGTTTGTCTAATCCTGTTCAGACTTAGTGCCCTGTCTGCAGAGAATGTGCGTGTTGTTCGTTTAGGGTCTGTCCAACCCACAGGAGACAGGGTCCAGGTTGGTGAGAGCAGCAGGAACAGAAGGCCAGGGGGCACACACTCATGCACATAGTCCCAAATGAAATATCAAATCTGCAGTACACTCAGGGATTGAATAAACAAACACACACACAAAATATCTCAAATAAAAGTAGAACCATGTGAGAAAATTACTCATTACTAATTTTCACAAGTGAATAGTTAACACTTAGCCCACTTGTGAGTAGTTTACGCTTTGATGACTGCACTGGCCTACCTAAGACTCCACCTTGTGCTCCTCCGGCTGATCTGACTCATTGAACAGATTTGATCTCTGTCTGTGAAATAGTTCATAATTCTGCCTGAAGGGATGAAATCATCAACGATATCCAAGACATGTACAAGACATCAGTTTCCTTGTATCTAGGTCACTATAGCTTCTAGTGGTTATTCTACCCAATAAAGTTATCTTTTGGATCTTGGTTTGACGGGTACAAAGCGGGATGGTGATGATTTTGTGTCCCCGTTCTTTTCTATTTACCTTTACATTAGCACTCAAAAGCCTCCAGCACTCCACCTACGATTCATGTACAACTAGAATTTAATTCAATTGTTAAATCACTTTGAGCCGTTCACTGTAATAGGACTATGGGTGGACATCTTTTTAAAAACACTTCAAACTAGGTTTGTGTGATGTACATTAAAGTAACAGCTGACCCTTTGGCAGCTAGCTGAGCAATTCAAACAATGCAACGTCCCACTGGCCTCAGCCAAAAATGGCCACTGAACATTTTGGTTTACACCAGGCTGATCAGCTGTTGAGTAATCATTTCTGTCTTATGCTAAACAGCTGTCTGATCCTTCCGGCTGTCAACAGTAATTAAGATACTGCCACGGAATAATACCAGAGGCTGTGGGGATGGCTGAAGTTAAACCTGTCTACTCATCTGCTCTCAACTCCAAATATTGAATCAAACAATAGATGAAATAAAACAGAAGTGAAAAAACCACTTACAGCAACATATCTCAAATTGAAATTGCAGCAAAAGGCCAAAACGTGGCAAGACATTACTCAGAGTTTCTCAATGTCATTCATCATTAGACCATACTTGCATGCAAAAGCCTGTTCATGATATTTCCCTGTAACTAAGCATGACAGGGTCTAGTACCACAGTGATGGTAAATCTCTGGGAACACCAGTTGCGACAGTGATGCAGCTGAAAGTGCCAAACTGTTGTCCTTAGGCAAGAAAGCCACCCACATTGCCTATCAGGGGTCTGGTGGTTGTAGGGGCACAAATTTGTAGTCTGGCTTCCAGAGAGTAGCTGTGGCAACAGTACTTTATCACCACTGTGAGAGAGAAATGTCAGTTGAAAATTCTTCTTATTTTTTGTCTGTTACTTTGTAGTGGTAGTGATTGATTCATGGGGTGAAAGGAGATAGTCGTGTGTTATTACCAAACACATCCATGTTATTATCTCTTTAAAAATCACCATAGACCGCCGCGTGGATCACAGGCTTCACCGCTTCACTTCTCGCGATGCTTCGTTTATTAGCCGGCAGAGACAAACGGGACCTTGGAATGGGATGATGAGGAGCTCTACTGTGGACAAGAAACGGGAGCTCTGCTGAAACAGAAGCCCGGGCGAATAGAGAACACGGTATGTTGTGTGTGTGTGTTCATGAATGCCTCTTCATCCGCGTCTTTGAACGAATGGCGGCGGTGATGAGAGTCAGAGCGCGAGGGTTACCGTTTCAGTTCGTGACGTCACGAGTTTTTTTTTTTTCTTGAAAGTCAAAACAACCATTGCCTTTTATACCATATAACCACAAACATCAACTACAGAGGCGAAGCTGGGCAAGGTTCCTCAATTTTTGAGCTGTTTTGGTCCTTATGGCCCTCTTCGGCCCGCTGCAGACCGAATTAGCCTAAATAAGCGTACGGGTTTATGAGGAGCAGGTGCACGGGAATCCCTCAGCTTGTGCGTACAGGTGGAGCACTGGGCCATGGCGGCCAGAGACCGTAGAAGAAGTACATAGAGTCTATGTACAGCCTACACTGTATATACCAGACTATATACGGTCTATACTCTGGAGCACACTCTGGAGCACACTCTGGAGCACACTCTGGAGCACACTCTGGAGCACACTCTGGAGCACACTCTGGAGCACACTCTGGAGGACACTCTGGAGCACACTCTGGAGCACACTCTGGAGCACACTCTGGAGCACACTCTGGAGCACACTCTGGAGCACACTCTGGAGGACACTCTGGAGCACACTCTGGAGCACACTCTGGAGGACACTCTGGAGGACACTCCGGAGCTCACTATGGGGCTGTCAGGGAGATTCTTCAGATTGTGAGCGGTGCCGTGCTGGCAGAGATGATGAGATGCCCGGGGGTAACTGTTTGACACTGTAGCTTCTGTGAAACGTTTGAGGTGTTTCTTTTTAATAGCTGGAAAACTGTGGAGTTGTATTGCCCAGTTGAAGTGCGTGAGCTCTGCCACGCTGCGCGCGACATGCGTCAGTCTGACAGATCGTGACGTAGATGATGCAGTGGTGCTGCTGGAATATGGGTCCAGCCCTGCTGTGTGTAACACGCTGGAAAAACAAGCGCCACTATGGCCCAATCATAATAATTACCATATTGATGTATTGTTCAATAACTAGTCTAATGAATGGACCAATATTAATATTTATCATCTGGCCGACATTTTCCCAGCAACAGTCAGAAGCCATTTGTTCTGCATTGTAATACTCTAAATGAGCTGAGAAAAGACACTTTATTATTTATTGCTTAACTCCGCTGTTTAATTTAATTCAGATTATACATTATTTCACTTAAATGAAATGGTCTTTAGTTTACTCTTAAAAGAGGCCATAGCACATTTGCAGCAGGCAGAGCATTCCATTTGCAGGGAGCAGAATGGGAGAAAGCAGCTTCTCGACAACAAAAAGGTTAAGATCGGAGGATCTAAGGCTGCGCACTGCATCATACCAGCAAGTCGGAGATATATGAGGATGCCAGATTAATGAGGGATTTATAAATATAAGCATAATGATTTTAAAGTCAATCTGGGCCTGTTTTAGGAGGCAGTGAACATTCTTCAGAATAGTTGTAATGTGAGATCTTTTTCTAGTCCACGTCAGAATACGAGCCACAGATTTTTAATGAGGTGAAGGTGCTGGATTGATTTTCAGAGAAAATGTCCTGAAGAAGGTTTAGTGAAAGAATCCACAGATTTTAGATAAAAGGACACTTTATTTACATGGTTGATGTATTTAAACAAAGTGGTATGTTTATTTTTGCATTTCCAAAAGATTAAAAGGATTGACACACAATCATGTAAATACACCTAAACTACTTATACCTTTCTACCGAGAAAAGCTCGATAACATTGTATGGTCCTAGGCTTGGCCATGGCTAAATGTTGAAGAGAAAAAATATGCTTTCATTTGTCATTATTGACCTGATAACCTCCACCCATAAGAGGTTTGATTTCACTAGTAAATATTCATTGGTAGATGCCAATGAATGGCAAAACAACAGTTCTAACTTGTTATAGAGAGGATTGATATAGATACCTGCAGACAATTAAATTCATTGGTTTATTTCAATGGACCAACCTAGTGGCACCGTTGTTAGCAACTGGACCTTTTTTGTCCAGAGCTACTCACTTTACTTTTCTTCCAATTCAAGATAATCTTTGCATTCTGCTCTCTCCATTGTTGGAGAGCAGTTTGAGCTTGGGTCAACTATTCTCTTCACAAGCTGCTTATTTTCTAAAGGCACAACAATAACATGGCTGACATAACCATCCAAAAATCCATATAAATCCATACAACTTGTTAGTGACTTATATAGATTTTTATTGTTTGAACTGTTTAGAGAGTCTACCTTCCTGTTTAGGACCAAATACAAGGTCTCGCTGTGATTTTTCCAAAGAATTGTGAATTTAACCCAACTTTTGTCAAATCTCCAAGATGGGGCGTAACACAATCACAGATTTGATATAGGATGTTCTTAGTTATGTTGAAACTTGGTGTGCTGAAACTTTTCCCACTTGTAAACCTGAATAGGTGTCTACATTTTTAGCAGCTCATTTACGGGAACTTGCAGTAAGTGCAAACTATAGTCAAAATGTTAATTTTTTGTTTTGGCAGTACTGAAGTCCACCCTCTCCAGAAGTATCAACCATAAAAAGTAATACAGGGCATCTACAAATATGTATTTTCATAGGCGGAAATATGATTTAAAATGATGTGTCTTCAAATTGAGATTTACTTTGAATTTATTAGATTTTTTGTAAATATTGAAAATATATCAAATATTCCTTTAATTTATTCAATTCATTGTTTAGATCACAGGCTATAATATATATTTCTACATTTGAATTAATTATGGGTAACTTTTTCAAATAGCTTACCTAGCCTGGGAATACCCATGCTGCTGTGTGAGCTTGAATCATTTTGAACACCACTACAGTACGTATCTCTTTTATTCTATATGTAGTCTGCTGCTAGCCAGGCTAATGCTTACCAGGAAAACTAGATAGACCTTGTCCGATATAATCAGATGCCAACTGCTGCAGCACAGTTTAATGACTCTATAATTTACATAAGCAAACAAGAAGAAGCCTTTAAGTTCATGTTCATGAAGGAAATCTATGATTCATCCATGGGCCTGTAAAATATTGAATGAATGATATATTATATTGCAAATTAAAGTATGTTATGCCACAGACATAATTAAAAGATGTGGAGAATGTGGAAAAAATATTTGTTGCACTAAAAGGAGGCTGTTTATCTCGAAAGAGAAGATTACTTGCTGTCTATGTGTTTCTGAATTATGAAATACAGTATGATCACTGTTGCCATAGTGATTAACACATCAAAACAATATTGTAATATATATCATTTTTAGATTTTAAAATATTTCAGATACCTAACAAAAAACACTCCTTTTTCATGTTTCAATGACAACACATCATCATGATTACATGCAGGCCGACTTTGAGGGGGGGATTTCTCTCCCAGTGCATGTTTTTGTGGCATACTGTTTACAAGGGACTCAAAATCAAGTTTGAAAGTTTAGCATTGTGGCAACACTAGTATGGTCAGGCTTCATGAGGTTGCCATTGTTATGTTTTATCTCTGAGAAGACCTGCACAGTATAATTCATAACACACGTGTAGCTACGATTGTTAGAAAATTAACATAACCATTAACTGATTTCTGTTGCAGATTTCCCAATAAACAAAAGCCATTGCATTGAAGTTCATAACAGTAGTAGTTTGCATCCTCAAACTTGTACAGAACTCTTTAAGCTTTGTATGTTGTCTGTCAGAGGAGCCATTTTTTGTCTACTCTTCTTCTTGTGCTTCTCTGTCATTTTGTCCTTGTGCTATAATAATCACTGTCTGACTGGCGCTTCCTTCCAGAGCAGGCAGTGGACATAGTAACCGCTGCCCTGCTGATGAAGGGAGGTCTGTGTCTGGACAATGGCGCTAATAGACGCTGACAGTGTTCAGGTTGTGTGGCAGCAGCCCTGGGCGATCAGGGGCATACTCGGCCACTCATGCAGTAATACATAATTTTGCAAAGCCTATAATACACACAAGACGCTGCATAGATGAATTAAATGATATTTGCATTCCTGGTTTATCAGTATTAAAATAGTGTATTATTCTTCTTATTTAAAAAACAAATATTATTACTTCTGTTATGAACAAATCTGGTCTCTGTTGAGAATCAAGCATATACTGTTTATAGGAATGGACAATGCTAACCCAAGAGCTCTTTGAAGGCTTAGTGAAGTGCTCCTACTCAGGTTGGATCCAATCACTTGCATTAGAAAGTAAACCTCTCCATAACTAACCTAACCCTAACTGTCCCACTCACCATTTTGGCCATAACAATCTTTGGTGCGTTCTGTCCCCGAATGCGGCGTGCGAATAGAGCAAGTGGGAATAAACTATCACCACTCCTGTTGGCTCTTTGGTTGCTAGGTCGTTGTCTACCCACAAATTCGGCTCCAGTTTCCTGCTTATGCAGCCTGATTGAGTCAGGGCTAATCAGCTTCTTCCACAATAAGGCATACACTATGAGTGACGTCTGCACTTGTTTCGTCTGCTCCTTAGCCTATGGACAATAGCAATATTCAAGTCACTGTGTGAGCTTTATAAAAAATTAAGAGATCCAGGAGCAGGCAGAGCGATATGCGCAGGCACAAAATACATGAATATCCTCAAGGTGGGAAAGCTTTACCTGTCTATGTTACAGTATATTTAGCTAATAACTATATTATTAAATCAGTTATATACAGTGCCTTGCGAAAGTATTCGGCCCCCTTCAACCTTTCAACATTTCGCCCCATTTCAGGCTTCAAACATAAACATATACAATTTTAATTTTTTGTCATGAATCAACAACAAGTGGGACACAATCGTGAAGTGGATCAAAATTTATTGGATAATTTAAACTTTTTTAACAAATAAAAAACTGAATAGTGGGGCGTGCAATATTATTCGGCCCCTTTACTTTCTGTGCAGCAAACTCACTCCAGAAGTTCAGTGAGGATCTTTGAATGATCCAATGTTGTCCTAAATGACTGATGATGATAAATAGAATGCACCTGTGTGTAATCAAGTCTCCGTATAAATGCACCTGCTCTTTGATAGTCTCAGGGTTCTGTTTAAAGCGCAGAGAGAACCATGAAGACAAAGGAACACACCAGGCAGGTCCGAGATACTGTTGTGGAGAAGTTTAAAGCTGGATTGGATACAAAAAGATTTCCCAAGCTTTAAACATCTCAAGGAACACTGTGCAAGCAATTATATTGAAATGGAAGGAGTATCAGACCACTGCAAATCTACCAAGACCCGGCCGTCCCTCCAAACTTTCATCTCAAACAAGGAGCAGACTGATCAGAGGAGCAGACTGATCAGAGATGCAGCCAAGAGGCCCATGATCACTCTGGATGAACTGCAGATAACTACAGCTGAGGTGGGGATGGTGTGTTCATGGTGATGAGCTGTGTTGCTTTTACGCCAAACATATCGTTTTGCATTGTGGCCAAAAGGTTCGATTTTGGTTTCATCTGACCAGATCACCTTCTTCCACATGTTTGGTGTGTCTCCCAGGTGGCTTGTGGCAAACTTTAAACAAGACTTTTTGGATATCTTTGAGAAATGGCTTTCTTCTTGCCACTCTTCCATAAAGGCCAGATTTGTGCAGTGCACGACTGATTGTTGTCCTATGGACAGACTCTCCCACCTCAGCTGTAGTTATCTGCAGTTCATCCAGAGTGATCATGGGCCTCTTGGCTGCATCTTTGATCAGTCTGCTCCTTGTTTGAGATGAAAGTTTGGAGGGACGGCCGGGTCTTGGTAGATTTGCAGTGGTCTGATACTCCTTCCATTTCAATATAATTGCTTGCACAGTGCTCCTTGAGATGTTTAAAGCTTGGGAAATCTTTTTGTATCCAAATCCGGCTTTAAACTTCTCCACAACAGTATCTCGGACCTGCCTGGTGTGTTCCTTTGTCTTCATGGTTCTCTCTGCGCTTTAAACAGTACCCTGAGACTATCAAAGAGCAGGTGCATTTATACAGAGACTTGATTACACACAGGTGCATTCTATTTATCATCATCAGTCATTTAGGACAACATTGGATCATTCAAAGATCCTCACTGAACTTCAGGAGTGAGTTTGCTGTACTGAAAGTAAAGGGGCCGAATAATATTGCACGCCCCACTTTTCAGTTTTTTATTTGTTAAAAAAGTTTAAATTATCCAATAAATTTCGTTCCACTTCACGATTGTGTCCCACTTGTTGATTCATGACAAAAAAATTTTTTTTAATATCTTTATGTTTGAAGCCTGAAATGTGGCGAAATGTTGAAAGGTTGAAGGGGGCCGAATACTTTCGCAAGGCACTGTATGGACACCCGATGCACATGTATACCTCTATACCAACAATGAATATATGTATAGATCATGCAATGTAGTGGTAAAACATTTATTGTGAGCTGATTCCTGTAACTACAAAATTGACATAACTTTTGTTTAGAAATAGTATTTCAGCTTAATTTACTCATACATCTGCAGTTGTTGCCGAAATCAGAAGTTGGTCTGAAATTAAACTTCTGGTGTAGAATTAACAAAGAATAATTTCATTTTACATATTTACACATTTCACTTCATATCTTCTCATTGCAATCATTCGCATCCCAACAAAACATAGTTGAGAGAGACCTTGATTAAAGTTATACAGCCCATGATGTTATATTAACAACATGTTTTTTCAAGTCTGACGAAGGGCCTCAGCCCGAAACGTTACTATTTTGTGTGGTATGTAAATAAATTACACTGTTTTTGGGAGCTACATAGCTGTGCGGATTATTTTTCACTGTTTTCTATATATTAACAATATTTCCCAATGACAATAAGGCAACAGAAAGATAATTAAACATGTATTTGTTGAACATCAATGATCAGCCTAAAGTTAAAAGACTAACATTTCCAACTAATATACATGAAGTTTATCCCTAGACAGCAGTTTAGTTAGTTTGATTTTTATTTTCATCTTCTTGTCTTGCATAATGTTGAAACTTTATTCAAACAACATTTATAACATTTTATCTATTTTGATAATCCATCATATCTACAAAATTAAACATTGCTGTAAAAAGTCCAAATGAAACCCGGGATGAAAGGTGTGCAATGCTGCAGTCTCTACAAATATGAGCAGCGGTTCAGACAGGAGCTGGTCTGAATACTGATTTTTTTCGGCGTTAGCTCTGAAACTGTTAGCTTAGCCACTGTAGTGCTACTCTCCATTCAAGCTGTGAGCGGTGTAGTGCTGCTGCGCATTGTGTAACCATGCTCGTAGTAGAGTGCATTCGAGGTGAGCGCGGCAGCTATGCAGAAGGGAAGGAGAGGGGGAGCAAGACAAGAGAGAGGTGCAAAGATTTGGGCACAGAGAAGAGCAGGAGCATCTCTAACTGCTGCTGCTGCTGCTATTTATAGAAAGCAGCCCTATACTCCTCAGTCCTCCCACTCAGCAGCAGACAGCAGCCTACACACTCACTCACATTGACAAAACCAACTAGAAAAATGTAGCAGTTTTGCAAAGGTAGGCTCACTCACTACTTGAGAGAAGTTTGATGAATGGACAACAAGCAACATTTGTGTAGCAATCGTTTTGTTGTTGCTACACTGAGCACCTGTAATCATTTGTCCGGGTTGCCACAGGGGGAGAAAAGGAAATGTCCTCACAATATTGCTTACTCCACGGAGTAAGCACGGAGTAAGCACGGAGTGTGTTGTGGTTCTAAAACAAAACAATTCAGGTGAAAAGTTCCAATCAAATATTGTGTCTGCTTTCACTTCCTTTCAGGCTGAGTCACTGCTACTGAGGAGGAAGGTCTGGAGAGGGACAGAGGAGGAGGTGGCAGGGGAGGGGGAGACCAAGAAAGAGGGAGGCAACGAGATAAGCCACAACAGGAAGCAGCAGACACGCATCGAACGCACACACCGAGTCTGTTGGTGTGCACGCGCGGAGGGAGAGACTGCGTGAGCCACCGAACAAGAGGGAAAGGAAGAAGGGAGGGAGAGTGACACGGAGGCTGGGAGAGCCGCCCCCCTCCTCCCCCTCTCTCTCTGTGGAGCAGGCGTGTAGCGGCATCACACTCGGCGTGAAGGAACCATGAGCGATGTCACCATCGTAAGAGAGGGATGGCTCCAGAAACGGGGTGAGTCCACGCTGTACCTTGGTGTCCTCTTTTCCATGCTCTGTGGTGGTGTCTAGACAAGCCGGTGCACATGTGCAGGGAGCAGCTTTGGTCACATGGATGTCTGACAGTGTGTGCCGCATGTGCAGTTCTAACTGTGTTTGTGGGGGTTTGTGCATGAGACATGGATCTGGTTCTCACATGCAGAGCTATAGCAAGTGTCTAATGCTGTCAGTAAGATTAAGTTTGTCATGCTTCTCCCTTGGGTGTTCTAAAACTCTCTTCACATCCTGAATGGTGTCACTAAGTTAAGTCATGTGTTGAGGGGGTGGGGGTCCAATAAGGGTCATTCAATGTCTTGTTTGTGGCCTCTATCATCAAAATATTATTGCAACGTTGTAAAAATTTCATCATTATGACTGACATGGACTGATTCATTCAGCAGGTGAATTATCAGGGTTAAAACATTTTTCAGTCTGAACACATGGACTGAAATCTCTGTTTCCTTCAATGCTCCTCCTTTTCTGCTCTGTAGTGTATGTGTTTTGGAACAGTCTCAGGGGAGGACAGAGGGGATTTCCAAGCTTCTAGGCCAATGGGTATCATCTCCCTGACTACACGATGATGCCTTGGAATGTGTAAAGCAAACTGTTGGACAGGAAGTGACATGGTTGCATAACATAAAGCTGGCCACTGGGTAATGTAGGCTAGACCTCTGCTACTACAAGGATAACAGAAAACTATAATAACCATGAAAGGGTAGTGGAGGTCTCCCAAACCTATTTGATGGGTTGGTGTGTGTGGTGTTGCCAGTTGTCTGTGCAGATGAAGAGGAACCGTGCACCCCCAGTCACGACGCAGCTCCCAGTTTGTGTGAGACAGACAGAGGTGGGAGGGAGTTTGTGTGGAGAATGTGAATGTTTGTCTGCATCATACGCTAACTGTGTTTGTAAAGAGGAGAGGGGTGCTGCTGACTCACTGTCCAGGTCGTGATACAGCAGACTGCAGTCTTAGTCATTGAACAACTCCAACAAGCTCCAACATAAGGATCTGACAGAATAGGTAAACCTGGTCTCAATCACAAAAGAGCGGTCCAATTAAGTATCATATTCCCCTAGTTTAAAAAAAGGTTTAGCTGTTTGATCAATCTATCCATACTTTTAACAAAGTAACCGAGGTTAACTGAGGACACTGTTAAATTCAAGAAACATAGTTTGGGAAGTAATTAATCAAAATGTCCACATTGTCACAGTTGAAATTATATTGTCATTTTCACCAGCCCTATACTTTGACCCACCACACCCAAAGGTGAGACACTTTTTCATAGATGACCACATTATCCAGGGACATCATTTTTTCTTTGGGGTTATTTAGTGATACAGCTAGTAAATGGGGAAAACCCGAGTAAAATGAGGACACACTCAGACACAGTGAGAATACGCAACAGAAATGTTGTTAGAAAACAATATTAATGGATTAAGGGAGCATTTAAAGAAACAGAAATTTCAGTCCATGTATTCAGACTATGCCATTGGGGAAATAACTCTTGTATATAAAGTGTTAGAATTAAATGTCAGAAAGAACCAGGCATTAGCCATAGAAGTTTCTTATTCAACCTCTTATCAAAGTAAGACCATATTGATTGAGTCCTGAAATATATGGCTCCACCATTTATTGAATTATAGGTTGCAAAACCGAACTGCTAACCATCCAAATTTTGTCTGTCTTTACAAATATTTGGTCTTGGATCACTCCACATCATAGAGGTGAGATGAAGTCGTGTGTGTGTGTAATCAGCTTTGCCTGAGCAGTTGTAGTAGTGCCTGCATCCGGGTTTAATGACAGATTAATACATGAGCCATAAATGAATGTAGGATACTGACTTTATGAAGTGCTTATGATTAGAGATTCTCTGAACGTACGTGTCTTTCATGACTTCAGTATCATCTTAATGGATGAGATCGTTATTGACTTCATCATAAACTTTATGTTCTTTATGCCTTCACTGTCTTAGTTGACATTGGTAGCAATAACCTGAGAGCAAACGGTTGTTTCTCAGATCAATCCAATCTTCTGTCCTTGGTGTTGAACAAAAGAACGTATAAGTGTAAATAAGTGCAAAAATAACCATTAGAAGAATTATAATGCAACATCACCCAGACCTACTTCAACAACTCAAGACTTTTCTACTTAAACATGAAAGTCCCACTGACATTTCAGGATATCTTTTTAGGAGAGTCCTGGCCCCAGACAGGAAGGTCACTCATCTTGTAGTGTAGCCGTACTTTAACACCCATGCTATCTTCAGGTTGATGAAAGTAAAGATAACATGAAACTTAAGATAGTGAAAAGAAAACAGGTCTGAAGTGATGTGACCATGTACAAACTCAAGAGCAGCAGAAGTGTGTCCTCATTTGACTCAATTCCTCACTGCCCTGAGTCTGTACCATAAAGCACTTTCCGTTCCTTATTAAGTGGAAATTCAATCTTCTGCTAATGTGTGCCGTCATCTTTGAAAGAGGTCTTTATTAAACGGAACATGTGTGTTTCGTGATTCAAGAAATAAATGATAAAATTGTGCATCCATCGAAATTCTGAGAAGTCCTTGCATTTCTCCACCTGAAATGATAGTACAGTACGTTTTGATCTCCGGGCGGTGTGTCAGCTGAAGCTGGGGGGCAAAGAGGTCGTGCTGGAGGATACAGTTTCCTGCTCCTCATCAGCAGCATAGGACACATCCCAGAACAAGGCAGGGCTCTATCTTTGTACATCAGATGCTAGTTATTGATTGCTTGAGTTTTTTTCTTTGTTTCCTTCATTCAAACTGATTGTACAGTAGGGCTTTGACTCCGAATTTCGATTTTCAAACATAATTCAAATATATGAAAACAAAATAATATATATATATATATATATATAAATATTCGAACAAATATTAGACAGCCCCTAATATTCAAAGCTGTAATGGGCGTTATCTTTTTTAAATGATATGCTGAACGTTAGTTTTCTATTTAGATTTTGGGGCTTTTTCACGCCCGTTGAAGTTGTGAAGGTACTCATTAACGGGGCTATTATAGTGAAGGTACCGCTAAGCTATAGCCACTTCAAAAAGTAGAACTCTCTGGAACTACATGAAAACTGAACAAAGAATTCTGAACATCAGCGGTGAGTGACCCAAATATAAACTCAAAATTAATCCATAATCGGATCCTCTGCAAATGTGTCCTAAAAGATTCTATTAATGTTAATGGTTACTTCCAGGGTTACTGCGATGTAAATGTATGAGGTATTCTCCTCTTAACATTTAAATGTGTTGATTGATTGTTATTTGTTTATTGAGCGTGGCTAGCTCTGATAGCTTCTCTCGCAGAGACAGAAGTAGTGACAGGTGCTGAAAGCCCGTTGTGACAAAGTGTATGAACTACTTGTGAAGTAATCTAAGTATTTTACACCTGAATCACAAGCACAGATTGCGTTTCCAAAGGGCAGCGGTCATTATTGGTTTATCAAGAATTAATTACGTTTTGAAATTGCATTCAAATCAACGGAGCGTTCTACTGCTGCTGTGAGGAGCTTTATGATCAATTATGATTAAATATTCAAATATTTAAATAAATTAAAAAAAAACTTTTAATATGATTTTTGTGCAAAAGTAAAAACCCTATTGTACAGCTACCCTTTAAAGTCATGATGGACAGAAAGGATGATGAAATTGGTAGATTAGACAATTATGACTGAAAATACTATGGACTAAAAAAGGTGTCATATCAGTTATTGGTGTCATGTTGGTGTCTGAGAACCAAACAGAAGACACTTTACTTATCGATTAGTAGGGCGGCAGTTCAACAGAAGAATAAAAGTTTCACTACTGAAGGACATGTCCCACTGATAGATTAGTCAGTAAAGAAGTACTAGTGCTGGTGGCTGTTAAAGGTGACTTCTTGGTCGTTGTCATGGTAATGGTGACAGATGCTTACAGCTGGCAGATTTATTTTTTCCTTGGACTTGTGTTGATGTAAATGGAGTTAGACCTGGGCAAACACATGCAGCCCGGTTCACATTTATATGTGGCCCTGGGACTATTCCCAGTAATAATTTGTCAAATTAATTCATCTGAATGGCACGGTGGCACAGTGGTTAGCACTTGTGTTTCACAGCTAGAAGGTCCTGTGTTCAACTCTAGGCCTTTCTGTGTGAATGTTGCATGTTCTTTCCGCGTCTAGTTTTCCTCCGGATGTTCCGATTTCCCATACCACTAAAACATATGTATAATAGTCCCTCATAACACCCACACCAACCTCATTCACTCCAGTCCCCTCTCTTTGGGGTCAGGACTCCCCAAAAAGAGATTCTGAAAAAGTGGTTCTTCCTGGTTAAATAAAGCCCATCAGAGAGAATAATTGCCCAGCCACCCCAGATATTCAATGGACAATTTTACTTCAACTTTGACTTTGTAGGGCTGGATTGCCTCACAGCAAGAGAGTCGTGAGTTTTATTCCCAATCTAGTTTGGGTCTTTCTGTGAGAAGTTCTCCCTGTGTCTGGGTGAGTTTCACTCCAGTTTCCCCTGCACGCAAAAACAAGAACCACAGGAGTATCTTCGAGCATAAGTAGTCCTGACCCCTGACTAAGCCGAATAGGATATGCATCCCCAACTGTATATATTAACGGACATAGTCACGCCTATCTCCGCCGTTCTAACTAATGGGCCAAAAATTGGGCTCTCATGGAGTGATTCAAAATGGCCGTGGGGGCTGGAAAATGTGAAAAAACGCATCTGCGCATGCGTCAGCCGGCATGAGCTCCATTCGTTTAAACAAGTGACTTCAAAAATTCACAGCGAGTAAACTAGAGTGGTCCATAGAAATTCACCCCCCTCAGCATTGACACACATGTGGAACGGAGCTTTGGGCCAAGAGCCAACTTTTGGACCATCCTGTAAAGTGTTTTCGAGAGGTCTGCCAATGCTATATGTTAGCATTAATTAATAATTCTTACTCCGGGTCCACCCCCATCGGCCCGGGGTGGTATTGCAAGCATGTCAGCGCACATAATATTGGCCACTTTTGAGTCGGGCCCCCACTGATCCCCAAGCGCTGCACTTGAGCAAACACTGCTCCCGACAGGTTTCCCTAATGTTAAGG